TAATTAATATGCTATATAGTAATATTTTGTCAAGATGAACCCAGGCTTAACATGAAGATTAAGTTGAGTATTTTTTAAGAAACTAACTCTCATAGCAGTGAATACTTAGCTTTCTGGTTTCTGAGGCATTGTTTGTGCATAAAGAAATATAAACAAGTTAGTACCAATGAGTCTTCTGCAGAATGAAACCCTTACTAAGAAGTGAGTCATGACTGAAGCTCCCGTACAGTACACAGGTCCAAGTCAGTGCACCTCTGGACGCCACCCACTCGGGCAAGCATCAGAAGGTGGGCTGGATAAGGGCCAAGTAGATGCTTGAACAGTTCCAGTTCTCACACAGCAAAGATAACAGAAACTTGTGAGATCTGTCATGGAAAACTGTATCCTGCGATACCTTCATGTCCGTCGTTTATTCAGATAATTAATGGCCTCTGAATAGAAGGGCAAGAAAAAGAAATAAAAGATGTAAGTATTAGAGAAGAGGAGTGCTGCATTTTTTCATAACATGAGATCGTACACATGGAAAAAATCTACAGATCAGCTACTAGAATATATAAATAAGATTACCAGGGTTGCTGGACATAGGCACAATACTTGAAGATTATTTTTTATACGTAATAGAAAAGCTAGAAATTAGTACATTTAAATAACACCAAAAATGTCAGTAAGCACAAGACACCTAAAACTGAGTCCAATGAGATGAATGCAAAACATGCACAAGACTACACAACATGCAGAGAAATTAAATAAGATTCATTAACCAAAAGGCTAGCATGGTAAGATAAACTATGCTGATGAATTTGAAGACACGATTTTGCAAAGATATTAATTTTCTCTATAAATTCACTATAATCCCAACAAAAATTTGTGGCTGTCTTTGTGTATCTTAACAAGCTGTATTTAGGCACATCACAGAACAAAATGAGATTTAATAGCACAACAAGGTTTGGCTGATTTGTGCTATAAACCTAAATCTTCCCCCTCCTCTGTGACCCAGACTAACCTACTCAAATGGAAATTACAGTGTCTCCCTCACAAGATTCCTGGAAGGATAAACTGGTTGATTTAGACAACATTTTGCAGTTATCTGCCATTGGTATTTCCCATTTAATTGTGTCTGTCCTTCAATTGACGGTAGGTTCCTTGAGGTCAGGGACAGTGGTTTGTTCACAGTTACAAACCCAGTGTAGATTCCCAATGAATATTAAATCAATGAGTGCATTTTGAATTATTACTGCAGGAAGCAAGTGGTAGTTCAATCAAATGTATTTGGATCTAAAATCAAAACTGTGTATCAATAAGTAGCACAGCATTGTTATTAGGGCTGATCCAAAATGGAAAGTCAGTTCCAGAAGGAATGTGAAAGCCCAGTTCCTGCAATTAAGGCACATGACCAAGAAAAAATAATGAGTTTATTTAGATACTAAAGCAGCTGAGAAGAAACTGAGTCAGGAGTAGGGCTAGATCTCAAGGCAAAGTTGATCCTGAAGCTAAAATGACATCACCTTGGCTAGAGTTTCTCTAGGGTCTGGAATTGAAAAGGATCCTTAAGTATCAATGATCTTTGTTATAGATACTGATTGAAATATAAAATAGTAAATAAGCTCATTTCAACACAACTGAGTAGGACTTTATTTTGGAGACAGGGCCTTACTCTGTTCACCTTGTTGGCCACAAATTTCTGGGCTCAAGCAAGCCTGTCAGAGCCTCCCCACTAGCTGAGACCAGAGGTGCACACCCCTGCATCCAGTGTGCTTTTTTTAGGCCTCTCTACTTCCTCCCTTTGGTGGTAAGGCTGTGTAGCAGCAGTGAGTGTGGGATGGAAAGTCTCATTCTGAGACCTCTGCAGAGCAAGCAAGTGCTGGGCTGAATCTCCTTGCTGTGGATGATCCCCTAGGGAGCATGCAGGTATTCAACCCTCAGGTGACTGGAACTGGGATGAGCAAAGTGGTAGATCCAAGAGGCTCAGTAACTTGCTCAAATCTGCCTGCAGAGAGTAGCAGGGATAGAATGAAAGCATACATCTGTCTGTCCCCACATCCTACGGCCCATGGTGCTTATATAGGAAAAAGCATTGCAGACCCCAGCCCTAACTTACCCCCACCTTCCCCAAGTCCCCAGGGCCCAAAGATGTACATATTCCCTACTGTTACTCCCCACCTTCACACTGCATTGTGCATTCATGCCAATACCTTGTATCATAGAGCAGGGCAATTGTCTTCTGCACACACCTGCTCATTTCCTGTGTGGGGACTTCCCACATCCTTTGGTTTTTTTGTTTGTTTGTTTGTTTGTTTGTTTTTATCAGCTAAAATCCTTTTCCAACTCTTCACACCCTACACAGAGAACTCCTGAGGCTTAGCCAGCTCCTCCCGGGAGGTGTGGGAAAGGAGAGAATGTAAGTTTCACCCTCTGCTTGCCTCTTTCCATGGTGTGGCACACCGACTGCCTCCCAAAGCTTCTGTAGCTCCTCCTAAACCAGTTCCGCACTCCCTGGGGCTGACTGCTATCTCCTGAAAAGCTGGCTTGGCAAAGAAACACTGTGCAAATCTGCCCCTTCTGATTGTAATTCAAGCTTCCAGCTATGCCTCTTAAGGGAACACGAGGAGGAGGGAAGAGACAACCAAATTCACCTGGCTACAGTGCACAGCTGGAAATGGACTTCTTACTAAAAGGCTAGACAGGGCCATGCCCATCAAGGTACTAACTTGTGCACAAAGATGACAATTGCTAGGAAGTAGAAATGCCTGGGAGGAAAGTGTATTTTCAAGCTGAGCCTCCCAGTTGCTGGGGTCAGAGCAAGAAAGTTATCCAAGGCCCTGGGCAGTGCCCTCACAACAAATGTCCCCTCTGCATCACCTTGCGGCTCCTCCACCTTTCTCTGCCTGGCTGGATGTGATGCATCAGTTTTCTCCCAAACACAAAGCAGTGTGGTACTATTTACCATCTTGGCTCTGATGCACTGGAGCAAACCCAAGTCCAGCAGGCATCTTAGGTTTTCTAATCTGACAAATTTTACCTGCAGGGAGTGCAGCTCCCAGCTTGGATTAGGCTGTCCCTTTCCTGGTTGCTATGGCTCCTTCTCTGCTCTCACTTCACTTCCTGAAGTGCTAACCTCTCCTGCCTGCCAAACCTAAGCCCCCAAATCTCTGCCCACATTCTCCTAAGCCATGGTCCATCCTCTCTGGTCCCACTGTCCCTCTGTGCTCCTGACCACATCAATGTCTCAGATCATTCATGGCCCCACGTCTGGGGATAGAAGTAGGACAGGCTGACATTGTTCCAGGGTGTGTCCTCTCTTCCACAGACAGATATTTGGTCACAAGCAAAAGACATACAAAATTATTTTTTCTCTTCAAATTAGAAGCACATAGCAAGAAATCAACAACTATTTGCTTGAATTAAAATCACCAAGCAAGATTTTTTTTTGTCTCTTTGTTCTGGCACCTAGGAAGTTTTGTTTGTGTTTTTCCATCAAGGACAAATTGAAATAGAATCTCTGGGGATGCAGTCCAGGCTCTGTTTTTGCAAGCGTTTCAAGTGATTTAGGATTAGGATTAGGGTTAGGGTTAGGATTCAAACACAGTGTGTTCCTAAGAATTGCTGCCCCTTACGGCATCTCCAAGACATACGGTCAGTCCTGCAGTAAGGGTCCCTTGGAGAAGCAGAAGTTGTTCTATCTAAGCGGATATATTAGCGAATAATTTGAACATAACACATACTTCATGTTTGCTTACGTGCATGAGCTACAAGAAACATTAGGTGAATGGCCAAAAAGACATATTCAGGGCCAGCCTTGGAGGAAAACACAAACCACGTACTTGGACCAAAACCTCAACACACAGAGCACAGCATGCATGCAAACTTCAAACACCTGCCAGCTCCCTCAGTTCACCCCTTGTAAGCCACACCCACCCACTGCTGGCTGCAGCCTTCTGGTGGTTTTCTAACAAGTTGCAACCTTTTCCACAGAAACAAGAGCGGACGTTAAGTTCTTATCACATTCAGCACAGTATTTCCATATTTCTTTTTTTTATTAGTAATCAACAAATCTTGGCAGGTCTTACCCCTGAGTCTTTTTCCTCACAAGCTCTGTGGTTTGCACTCCTGATTTTGCACAGCAAGGTGATGTTTGGAAACGCTGTGCAGGGTGGTTGCAGAGCTGAGCGCCCTAGCACGTGCTTCTGCTAACCTGTGCTGAAAAAATGGCTTGCTCAGGGAAAAGAGAAAGGAGACTAAACAGTATCCCTGTAGCAAAGTATAAACTCTGCCAAACTCAAGGCAATTGTTAGGCTTAGATTTACATAATGCTCTGAGATTTCTGGGTTGGGAGAAATAAAAGTCATTTTCCCAGTATCAAGAGTCAGGAAGGAAATGTAGATCGATAAATTAATGCTTAGAAAGTTTCATGGGTCTGGAAGTTAAACTCCTGTGTCTTCTGTGAACACTTTATTGGAATAACATTAGAAGAGATCACTAGGCAGCTGAGTGACATTTCTCACCCTTTGAATAATTACTATTTGCTTGGGAACCAATGGTTGTCTTGTTTCTAATCCAGTACTAAAGGTGTGACTGCAGCCCTACACAGGGGGCTCAGGGAGTTCTTTGCTTGCTTTGTGGAGAGTGGGGACTCCATGGCTTATACCGCTTTTGCCCTGAACAATTGTCCTACCTCCACCCATAGGGGCAGCTTCGGCCCTCAGGAATGTCTCTCTATTTAAGAGCAAACCGGCGGCAGGGATTTCACTGAGAACCTCTGAAAGACCCTGTAGGGTGGTGTCCTTTACCGAAAATCTCAGGCCCCACTTTGGGGCCCATGGCAGAAGAGCCCCGTGAGGCCCCCAGGGGTCTGGCAGTGATCGGAGGGAATTGGTGACAGGATTAGTGCCAAGAATGTGAGGCACTAGCATGGAAGCCCATCTTAAATGAACTCACACACAGGTTGTGAAAGGTAAATATATTCATTTTTATTTCTAAAACAGAATTATACCTATAGAGTGGTTTAAACACACACACACACACACACACACACATACAGGTACACACAAATAGTTATACCTACAGGAATATTTTGCCTGTTTCACAAACAAGGAAACTAAGATCCTAAAAGGTAAATTATTTAACTCGAGCTCTAAAATAGAACAAAATAATAAATACATCAGTTAGTTCTCTTACCTTCTGTTCCCCATCTTTAGGAAATCTACCACGAATAAACTGCCCCCAAATAGATTCAGTGTTTCTCCTGCCAGCCCACCCTGCGCTCCTACCCCAACCCTACCCCTGAAACTGGACATAACCTGTCCCCAAGCGCCAGGACACACACAGAGGTAGACAGGATGGAGCCACAGAGCCACAGCAGCCTTGGGAGTAAAAGAGACCTAACTGCCTTGGAAGCCACAGCAGGTTCTGTAGGTCTATTCCTGATCTTGATGAGGTGACAGAAGCCAGGCATCTGCAGGTCCAGGGCAGGTCCACAGGTCAGCAGAGCAGTCTTGTTATGTCTGGTCCTCACACATCATCCTCGCTGTGTGCGTTGTGAGGTGTCACTCCCAGCAGGAGGGGGAAGATGTCCTCCGTGGAAGCAGGGCAGTCACCTCACTCCAGCCTTCCTCTCACCTACTACTTCTCCTGGAGATGACCTGTCCCTCAGGATGCAGATCCCAGAGGACAGACACCTGGGCAGAGGGGTTGGAACACTGTTGGTAGTAAGAGCTGATATTCAACGACTTAGTTCCAGCCAAGCTCTAGCGGTGGCATGCCTCCATTCCTTTAATCCTGAAGCCCCTAGGAGACTGTATAGTCTTCACCCTACACCTAGTTGAGGGAAGAGGCTATGAGCCGTGGTATGGATCCTTCCTCCAGCTCTGCTCTTCTGTCCCCTCTGCTTCCCCATGCTGCCCTGGACCCCCACCTGGTGCCCACAGCCCCTTCTCCTCTCCCCCAGCGGGATGTGATCTTCAGAACAACTCTGCTCTGAATTCATAGCCTCACAGCGTGCACTGCATTGTTCCCCTGGGGTGGCTGCTCAGCCATCTCATTGTCATTGTGGAGTGAATCCTGCATCATCTTACATGAATTCCAGACATGGACAAGTGGGTGAAGGTGTTCTGAGGGGGCAGGAGTCTTCCTGGTGTCCCTGTCCACCCTGAGCGAAGCAGCCTGAGTCTCTCTGAAGCGTGACTTTCTTATGTAGCCTCCCTGGGAATGAGGACCCCTTTTCAGGATGGGTTGTCCTGTCCCTGTATTCTGATGGCTGTAGGGTCCCCTGTCTGGTCTTCCATGATAGTTACTGTTAGTACAGAGCCCTCCGATACCAGAGATGTCCAGATGTAAAACCATCATCCCCAACTGCTAAGGAAATTCAGTAGGGAAATGGGCCTATGGAGCCCCTGATGTCACATAGAACCCTCTGTCCACCACCCACCTGGTGCTCCCAGAATAGAATTTGAAGGAGAACTGTGTGGAGAGAACTCTGCTGGGACTGCAGCCCCTTCCTCCCTCTCTTATCCTGGGACTCCTCCAGCCTATTGTCCATCAACCTCCCCAACTTCAGGGGTAGTGCAGTCCTTGATCTTGGTATCTGCTGGTTTTCTCCAGTTTTTACCATGGCTGACCACACATTCCCAACCAGCTGGAGAGAAGGCCTCCCCCATGCATCTCTCTAGAGCCACCGGACCAGGTATCCCCGGGGGGGGGGGGTGCAGGCCACCTGGCACAGAGTGATAACCCTAAAGCTGACTGCTGTCAAATGAGACCTTGGTAGAAAAGCCGGATGTGGTTTAATATGTCTACTGAAGGGGTAGGTCACTTGGTGACAAACTACAAACTGTCATAGTAACATCCCTCCATGAGGGAACCTTACAGGATGGGAAACACTCAGAGAGTATGGGAATTGTCCTTTATAAAGTCCTGCTGTAGAAACCCGGATGCAAGCATGCATGCTTAAAGGTACCATGACAGCATTTTCCTCACCTCATTTCCCACCTCCCCACACATCAGTCAGTGTCAATAACAGAGCCGTCTTCTCCTCCCTCTCTATCCCTCTCACTCAGTGTCCCAGCCCAGCACAGGGTCAGGTTTACAAGATCTGGAGTACAGGAGGTCCAAGTCACAGTGTTTTGGGTGCCATCAGATTGTTTGACACCTCTCCCCCTTACCCAATACTGAGCCTGACTCAGAAAGGGGAGGAATGTAAAAGACGCATGGTGTTTAAAAAAAAATGTGTGACGCTCACATATCCCATGTGGAAAAGCCACAATAGGTCTCCAGGCAAACCGTGCCCAGGGTTGGGCCTCCCTGCCCACATTCTCTGCCACCTCCCAGGCTTCTGGCTGCCATTTTTGTGGCTCAGTCTCCCCTCCCCATGGCTGCCTAACAGCTGCTTCCCCTAGTCTCAGGGTTGGGGTATAAGTGGTTACCCACACCCCCTCAGGAGTGATTCTGAGCCCCACTTCCTTAGGGAGAGACAGGCCTATTGCTTTGCCTTTCAATCAAATCTTCCTTCTCCATAATAGGGTTACTAAAGCATCCCACTGGCTGACAAGGTGGAATTAATGCATGTGAGTGGGGCAGACCTTGGGGTATGTCCCACACGATCCTCCCCCTGAGGGCAGAAAGTGCTGGTGTGCTTAAGTGTACCCAAGCAAGCTCAGGGAATAGGTTTTCCGGAAAATGCACACAGACTCATTCCTGTGCTAGGCACTGATTTCTGCTTCCTAAAGGTGAGTTCCCTGTCCCCTCCCTCCCCTCCCCTCCCCTCCCCGGCGCACTCACAGGGGCCCTGAGTGGCTGAGGACAACTTCCAAGTGAAGTTTCTCCTTGAGTTTTGAATACTCACATCTTGTCCTCACCGATTCATTAACTTGGATCCACTGGTTAAATTTAATGGCGCATTCTAAATGGGAAAGAATGGCAGAGGACACAGTGAGTAATGGTATTGAGAGAAAGAATGTGTATTGGTATTTATGTGTAGCCTACCTAGAGGTAAACATGGGGAGATAAAGATATGAAGAGAAGCACCCAAACTGTCGGTAGCTACCAAAAAAACTAAATTATCATAGTTCCCTAAAAGTAACCTTATAGGCCACATAATTATGTTTATATTTTGCTAAAAAAATTTTTTAAACAATAAAAAGAAGCAAAACTGGCCAGTTAGGCCATGATAACAGTTCATTGATTGTAAGATATATTTCAATTTAAGTGATGTTAAAATGTAAAGAAAACACCCAGGTTAAAATTGATGAGCTGTTGTACTAAAAGTCACACTGAGTCCTCGCTAACCGAGAATGGTGGTTCACAATGTATCCAGGCTGTTTGTTTCTGAGGAAGAAGTTCTTGTGAGAATCTAATGGTTGAAAAATAACTTCTAATTAATACAGAAATGTAGGCAATTTTGGTTGGTGCCTTAAAGGACAAGTACCCCGGTCAAAAGTCTCCTTCAAGATTTATAAATACATGGATTTTCCAAAGCAAGAAAATATGCTCTGCGACAAAGAGTTTTGCACAAGGAGGATGGAGAGAGGTTTCAAAGACAGTTGATTCTCAGTCTGATTCTGTCCCTGATTACCTGGGTGACCTTGGGCACATCCTATAGATGTTGTGGGCCTTAACTTCCTTTCCTATAAAATCAGTGGGTTGGACTGGATTTCATTTCTAACACAACATTCATTTCCCAGCTCTCACCTTTTATAAATCTATGGTCCTAAATTCATGTGGTCCCATCTCAGTAGGTCCAAATGTCAAGTTCAAATAAACTCAACATGCAAAATTCTCACAGAACATATTCTTAGGACTTTCAATTTCAGCAGGATATTCTAAATTTATAAAATTCAGAAAAAACGAATGACGTGTTCCCTTTTGATTCTCCTTGCTGATAAATCCCAAGTACTAAGTGACAGTATTGCTCTCCACATGGTTAAGGAGGACCCTGGATCCCCATGGCTGTGCCTGAGAAAAGTGCTTACCTCTGCTGCCCTGAGCTCCCTCTCAGTGAAGACACCCGCATCCTCAAGGCATGTCTTATCTGAAAAGCAGTGACAGAGAATGTGACCTCACAGATGTCTCCAGGGTTCCCCAGGCTCAGGCTCATGTCCTGAGACCTTAAGACCAGTGACCCTGACAAATACAACATCAGAGGGTATAGCATACACCTGGCAAATAATGAGAGCTGAGCAAAAGTTCGGGTACAATGACAGCAAGTGTTAGTACTAAGATAGGAACTGTGGTCGTGGTTCTGTTCTTTCCCCTAATACAGCTCACACAGCCCCAGGCAGACTTGATGAAGAGCCAGACATAGAAGAGTGGAATTCCCTCCTTTCCTCCTCACACCAGATGCGCTGAGCTATCTCACAAGCCCAACTGCCCTGGACCATGGTCTCCTATCCAAACTGCCTCATCCCCCTGCGTGCTTCAGCTACATGGAAGTCACAGCAATGAATGAACCAAATTCAACTTACCTTGTGGTCCATGATGGTTCCAAACAGCAAGATGAAGAAACCCTGGAGTAAAATGCAACAGAATCATGTGAGACAACTTTGCAAGTATCCTGGCCCTTACCTGAAAACCAGTCTTGCAGACAACTTCTAGGGAAGTAATTGGACATCAGGCTCCTGTCTGCATGGAGAAAGATGGGAATTTCCTTTGAATCACCCCCCTTGGGTGAGCACTATTCTCATGGGAGTGTGCATGAGGAGTGCTGATGTTTATTGATGTAGAATAAAGTTGCCAACCTTATTATATCTTTTTAGGTTCTTCTCAAATATTGAAGTAGCTGTTCTTACATATGGTGACAGGTATATATATAACATGGAGGCTTACAATTCAAAATCACAATCCTAGAAGTTACTGTAAGAAATGAAACTGGAGCTAATATTCAGTATATGTGTGACATGGGCTCTGGGCTAAAGGGAGAAGCTTCTACAAGAGACAAAGAAAGCTTTAAAGACCTGGGAAGGCAGGAGGGTCTCCTCACCATCCAAGGGTAGTTCCATGGTGAAGTAATAGTAGGTCACTAGAAATGTTAAATGTGAGTCACAAGGAAAGTTTGCTGAGAAAAAGGTTACCCATAACTAAAAGTATTGAATATATTTGTTTCTTCCAGAAAAAAAAAAAAAAAAGAGAGAGAGAGAAATACGTATGACCTGAAAAAGAAATACAGAAAATAATTTCTTGGCATTTAACTAAGTTGCAAAGCAAGAAAGAAGATGAATTCATTAGTCACTAGGATAACTTCAAGAGTGGGAATCATTATGTGAACCCAAGAGCTTTTGATTTTACAGAAACAGAAAAAACTGATGTTGTCAAAGGTTTCGCAAAAGGCAGCGCAAAAAGGAAGCAAAAAACCAATGCGCTCGATAGTTATCAAAGAACTATGAGTAAAATGTGAGGAATCTGAGTTGGAACTTCTTTCAAGTCTGCTTTATCTTCTGGATCTTGCCTTTAAGAAGAGTAATAGTGACATGTTAATAGAGATAGTCTGCCGCTTTATCAAGCAGTCGCATGTATATAATTTAAAGCAGTGGTTAAAATATTGTTTTCTGAAAAGAAGCAGACAGTAAATATTTTACTGTCTTTGCGGTTGTATAGTCTGCCACAGTGACTCCAATGTGTCATTGTAGCTCAGCAGTAGACAGAGGGAAGATGCAAGGAAATGAGCACGTCTGTGTCCAATGAAACCTTATTTACAAAAACAGGAGGCAGCTCAGTTTGCCAGTCCCTGATTAAAAGCATAGCTAAGATTGTGGACCTGCCAAATGTCCTATTACTCATAGCTATAGAAAGCAATTTAGCTAATGATAGCTTTTCAAAAAGTACAAGTTCAGTAGCAAGAGGGAATAAAACAACTTTTAGATGGATAATCTCACCAAGCCTAGTATGTGAGAGAGGGAAAACACAGCAGAGATCATTTTAGATTCATATCTTTAATTTACAAATAAGAAGCTTGGGGCCCGGAGAAACTATCCTTCATCAGATCAGGGAACAGGTGACAAGATCTATTTCTATTAGTAACAAATTACAGTTATTTCACAGGGAATAGCAGGGACCAGGTATGCAAATTCGAACTGGTTAATAGCCCAACTGACTGGCAACAGCCCTCTTTCCATCCCATAGACAATGGCTATTTCACCTAGGGTCCAAACCATTGGAAAAAATGCAAAATTGTGCTTTTCTTTGAAGCATGACACCAGAGTAGCTTCATTCACTGCTGACCAGTGAGGAGTCCTCTAAAAGAGAAGGTCACCTTCTGACACTGACTGTTTGGAAGGACATAGGCAGATTGGAGAGGAGAGCAGGAAGGAGAGTCCCATTGGACAGACCTGATTGGCCAAATCCATCTTGACAGTCAATAGAGTGAGAAAGGCCACAGCTTAAGTTACAAGAGAAAATGGAAGGAACATTTTGTGTTGTATGACTTTAAGTGGTAACAGTTTTTGTTGTCTATGGAATTATACACGGGCCTTACCTGGAAAGCATTGAGCAGAGCAAAGATGATATGGAAAATCACAGACGTGCCCTCGATGAGAGTGGCTATTCCAAACCCCCAAGTCAGTCCCAGGAGTGGGGTAAGGATGACAACGTTTTTGCTGATCCGCATAATAATGGCCATATCCTGAGAGTTGGAACTTCCAATAGAAGGCCTCTGTGTGCTGAAAGCAACAACGAAGACCACAGCAAGATTCACAGCCACAATGACCAAGGCTGGGATGGCAAACGCAAACAGGGCTTTGCTCCCATCCCAGTTCAGCCAGCACATGTCCTGTCTCACATAGCTTTTCTCTGGCTCCGTGATAGATACTGTGGTGGCAGCTATGACCAACGGGCACCCGTAGCCAACAGCAAAGCCAATGGCTATCATGCAGGACTTCATCATTCTCCGGAAAACCACCAGTATTCCATAGAGGATGAGCAGTGCCTTAAACAGCATCCAGAAGAACAGAGAGAGGTAGAAAAAGTGGCTGAAGAATGTTACAGCAACACACCAGTTGTAGCTCTTGGCCTTGATATCAAAGTTGGAGCCAATGATGAACCACAAGTTAGCAGCCAAGAGAGATACTGCTATGTTCACGAGACACACGTGCCGCATATGTGACATCTCTGTCACAGCCACACGTGGCCAAACCATGGCTTCAATGATCAGGCAGAGAATCAAGCTGAGGATGGAGATGCTCAGCCCTATGCAAGTAACATAGTCCAGGACTTTGTCCCCCACCAACCGCGGGGACATCAGGATGGAAAAAGACTTCATCGTGCTGGTGCAGTTACAGCGGCATTGCACCACGCTCCTGGCATCTAACGTGGTTTTGCATACTGTCTTATCCCACACACTTTTCTGGGAGTGCCAGCCAACGCACTGTGCTTTGGCATTCCTGGATTTATTGATTTTCTCAAAGGTGAGTAGGATTTCTCTCAGCCTTTCTGGCAACATGACTGACAGAACCAGACCATTGGGGGTTCTGGACAGACTTCCATCTGGTGAATGGGTCTCTTTCAGAATGGCTCCCAGAGTGGGGAATGCTATGCCAATGGCTTGGGATGCATTTGGCAGTTTCTGAAGCTCCTGCTGGGGAATTTCTATGGTTCCTAAGATACCTTCTGTGCTATTATTCATGCTTATGGAGAAATTGAGACGTTTCCCTGAGGTATTTTGATAGATGTGAAAGCCTTTGGTCTGAATGAAGAGTTCATCCACAATGGCCTCAGATTCATCATGGACATGGAGTTGCCTGGCAAAGGAATTCACCGAGTGCAATAAATCTGAGCTGGCTTTCTTGTCAGGAACAAAAGTCCAATTCGAAAGGGCTGCTGGATGGAGGATGTGGTTGGCCACTGTACTGTAGCTCTGCAAGGAACAAAAGCCCAGGATTGCACAAAATCAATTTCTAAAATCAGAAATTTCTGAAGATCTAATTATCTGATCTTACCTCAGATTCCTGGTGCATTGGAATTTCACATTAGTAAGGCTGCACATGGGGAAAGAAAGTACAAGAATGCCTGCTTTTTCACTGTACCAAAGGAAGCGTTTCCACTTATAGGGCCTGGAACCCACATTTCCCATGAGATATGCACATGGGGTGGTGGATTCTATGGCAATCTAAGTCTGAGAAACCCTGCACACAGCATCTGTACCATATCTCCCTCCCTGTTATAATTACCAACATTCATTGATACATTGCAGGCTTTTAAAAGTTGAGTTGTAAATAAGGAAAACTGCTTGACCTTCTTTACCTAGTGATTCCTACAACTGCTGTGCTGCAGATCTCCCTTTGAAAAAAGTAACCCCCATTCACATCTTTCTGAACAGTTGGTTACGTTCTACAGAAAACAGTTTTGGAAACACTAGGATGGACTCAGTCTTGCTTATGGTCAGCAACGTGCATTCAAAATATTCCAACATGTTGAGAACTTCCACACAGTAGAGTGAATCGGTAGCACAAATCGAAGAGCAGTGCCTGCCGCTGTTATTATGGTTGTTGTTACTTTTACCCTGAAAAATACATTTGAAACTAAAAAAGCACAAGATTAAAAAAAAATTGTCAGACTTTATGAAATTCATCCAGAGTACCTTCATTTTCTCTCGAGTCACTTTATCAGACAACTCTGTTGATATATTTCTTAATAACTCCACTACAAATGCAATATTTCCAGATGTGGCTTCGGATGACTTCACAGGATTAATTATGCAGGCAAAGTCGAGGGGACAGTTCTTGAGGATCCCTTGAGTGACACTCTCTATGGGCTCTGGAGCTTGGAGGTCAAGAATGTGCAGAGGGATTGAAGCCGATGCTAAGGAAAGGCGTGAAGCAGCATCTGAGTCCTGTTTGAAAAGAAAAGTTTCATTCAAAAATGACTGAGTACCTAACATGTGTCAGACTAAAGTCACCAGCAACCCACTAGGGACACCCATGGAGAAGCACATGGTCCTAAGGGGTCCTAAGGGAGGCTCAAGGTGGAGAAGCAGAGATGGTAAATAGAGGTTCTGGAGGGCAGAGAGTCCACTCAAATCCCCCTGAGATCACACCCTGAACTTTCCTATTTCTACCTGCTCTTGGGAAAGTGGCTTCTGCACAGTATTGTGATAACTGGTCTATTTTCCAGAGATGTGTGGAAAGGGGAGCCCCCTGGAATTTCTTGGGTTTTGGTGATTCAGACGCCAAAGGTTAAGGAATTGCAATGGTCATGTTTAAACTCACTAGGTACAAGTTACTCATTTCCTGATACTTTCCCCTGGATTCCTCAGAATATGACTTTGAATAAGACAAACAGTAATTTATCTGCTCTGACTTGTGTTTGCACACCACATGGTCACGAGGATGTCCTAGTGATTCCCTATCTAACTGAAAGTTACCATCTGCAACCCCTTCACAAAGCCCCTGTCAAAATTGCAGGAAGTGCAGACATCCATGTGTTTCCATATTATTGGGAGGAAAATAGAAAGAAACAGTTGCTAACTGGAAAGATGGATACAAACTAAAAGGTTTTAATTTTAGGTAAGATGTGTGGTATTCACTGAATTTCTATTCCTTCTAAACCACACACCTTACCTTTCTTTTAGGTCAAGGGATGGAAAGCATTAGGAAAAAGATATCCAGTTTAATTTAATTCTAGACATATTCAATTGAAAAACTGATTAGCACAAGAGGCATACAAATCCACTTTTAAAGCTAAAACTTAACCTCTAAGCAGTCATGTGTGCTGTAGTGTAAATATGTTTCAAATCTTTTTATGAGAAAAAAATTCTGAGTGGGAGAAATAGTGAGAATTGGAGGAAGGAAGAGTCTTGGACAGTAGGGGTAAGTAAGGAAGGACAAGACACAAAGCTAACCCACTCAGTGGATTTTCCTAAATCCAGGTCTGAAACTATTGTCTTGCAGATTAGATGACAATAAAAATGTGTTCACCACCTCATGGGCGATTAGCTCTTATCCAATAATATGTAAATGCACCACCTTGAAAAGTGTCTCCACAGAAAGGCTTGTACATGTTTCCGTTGACTTTTGCCACATTTTTTGGTGACATACATATCTGATTTCTCCACGGAAGGGCTTAGCACAGGGCTGGCTGCAGTTGGAGGAAGTGACGCACAGCCCTTGGCATTTCTCTGAAAAGGAATAACAGCCAGTGAGAGGCCGGATTAGCATCTCAACACTCTGACAATGAATCTAATTCCTTCTGGGAAATCGGATCCCTTCTCAGCAGAGATGACACTGAACTGGGACCGCTGCAAGGAGTCCAAGCTGCCAGGCCTCCATCAGGCATGCAAGCAGCATGTACAAGCACACTGGCTCCTTTGGGGGAGCAGGACACCCTCCTCCCTCTCCACCGAGGCAGGGAGCACAGTGGGTCCTGAAGGAGCGGGACACCCTCCTCCTTCTCCACGGAGGCAGGGAGAGCAAGGTGAAGGACCTTTGTCCTGCCCTAACTGGGAGGCCCTGCAGACAGAACCCGGTTTGTAAGAAAAGGTAATTATCATAGCAGTAAACTTCCCTCCACAGAACGATACAAATGGAGCTGCCAGAAAAAAGGAAGGAAACCCATTTCAATGTTAATTTCATTTTCAGATACCCTGGATTCTCATTCACAGGAATTACGTTCTATAAGTCGTGATGAACACTGAATTAGTGATTTCAGAGCCCGTGCTCCTGGGCAATACAAAGTTAGACTCTTGCTCGTTTCTGTGCACATTTTCACCAGCTCATCAGTGTAGAACTTGGTTTTATTCATGTTGTTGTTGGAAGGCAACTGATTTAGTCTATAGGGTTGCTTCACATCTAACACACATATTTTTACCCTAAAGCACATCACAGCCTTCTTTGCTTTAGAAGGGGGCATTTTCAGCAGAGAAATCACCCAGAAAAAAAAAAAACAAAAAATGGGAGCAGGTCTGTTGGTACATATCCACAATCTCAACATCCAGGAGGCTGAGGCAGGAGGAGCATGAGTTGGAGGCCAGGCTGGACAACTTAGCAAATTCAAATCCAACCTGGACTATGCAGTAAAACTGTCTCAAAAACCAAAATAGAAGCAAAAATGCAAAATTGTGGTGCTGTAGCAGGAGAACTGGAACAAGCAAGGCATGGCCTGGTCCAGTCTTTACCAGGAACATGTGTGTGAAAATCACTGACCATGTTTGCAAATGACCAAGAGAACGCTGGGAGTGTTGAATTGGAGGTTACCTGAAAATGTCTTGGAAGAGGTAAATCTGTAAATACAGCATCTGGACAAAATGACCATGGATTGCAAATGTTCAGATGAACACAGACTAATTTTCAGTGGATCCATGTAGTGGTGCTCTACTCATTGTTTATCTGAAATCGAGATTTAACCCAGCATCCTATATTTTTATCTGCTAAATAGGACAACTCCAGCCAGAGAGAAAATGCTTTCACCCTTGTGGGTCACAGGAGTCTCTGGCAAACATATAAATACGGAAGCAGCCAAAGATGATGCGTAAATGGCAGATAGGACTGTGTTCTAATACAGCTGTACATCTTTGGACGGATCCTGGGCCAGATTTGTTTGGCCTGTGGGTGAAGACTGGATTATCGCAAGGGGAGTCTCCCGAAGAACTGCCTTAGGACCGTGGCAGTGCAGTGGGAAGGAGGAGTCCCAGCACAGAGAAAGCTAATGAGGTGATCATGGGCTAAGGGCCAAGTGTGTAGCCAAGGTAGGGCTGGGATGGCTCTGTGCACTGCTCAGTTTCTTGTGAAAAGCAGAGCAAACGAGTGGGTTTGCATGTTTCCTGACATCTACCTAGTATCCTGCTTTTTACAACTTAGTGAATCATTGTCATTCTTCCTTCTTTTCTTCATGCATTTGGTTGGAATGATGCCAAAATGTCATTCCAAATATTTAACGAGACAGTATCTTGAGCAACGTTTAAAGCAGGGTTGTCACAAAGGCCCAACAAATGTTAGTTTTCTGTTTTTCCTCTTCCCAATTTCACATCTAGATAGAGATATACTTGCCACCAAAATTATGCCCGGCCAGCGCTGGGCACAACCCAGCTATCCCTGCAGTTTGGATGAGAGCCAGCGATTTCATCCTATTATTACTAATGATTACCTTTGCTGTTTACCTCTCACTTCTGAAGAGGGAGGGGTCTCACACCACGGTATCCACCATGCATTGCTTCATAGCCCTCGCAGCACCAAAGCACTGTTTACATTTAAACACCCTCAAAAAGCTTTGAAGGATAAGTGGATCTTCACCTCTTTCCTGCTCTGTCTCCTGTTAGCTGATTAGTCTGAACATATTTATTTCCCTTTGGGTTTGAAAGGGGACCTTCCTCTACTATTTTAAAGCACACATGAATATTGGTCAGCTTGTTTCATTGTATATGCCATTGGTGATGGTTCCTTTTCTTCAAATAAATACCCTTTGATGACGGTTTCGTGTGAAGAAAATCTGTCCATACTGGCAACTTACAACAAACAAAGTACTTACAACAAACTATTCTTCAGTTGGAAAGCCGTGGGCTGGGGACATGCTTGCAATACCAGTGTCCTTGCTATCCCTGCCCTGTCCCCAAAAAGATGAATACATTTGACATCCACATACCTTCTATCTGTCCAGTCCTGGGTTTCCCTGCAGGGCTTTGAGGTTTATTTCCACCCTGCAAAACATAAATTCCCAAAGACCCTCTTTACCATGGGACTCTATGGTAAAACAGGAAGAAAAAATGTGTAGGAAGGAAGATGCGGCTGACCCACTGGCAGTCCTGCAGGAACTCACTAAATGAGACATCAAGCAGAGTATGGAGCCCACACTGTCTTCTGATGACAGAGGCTGCCCGTGCTCTGAAGATCATGTTAGTGCAGCAGGTAAGTCTTTAGGAAAGTTAGGCATCCACAGAGCACACAAACATGGCAATTGCACCTCCAAGCTGCTCTCTCGCTACATTAACTGTACAGGTAGAACATAGCTAGCTAGGTCCTCTGGGTACTACATGTCCTCAGAAGAAGAAATGAACAGAAACCAGGAATAGTCATTAGTTGCAATAATAGAGTCACAGAACTTTTACACCTGTAAAGGGTTATAAATATTATCTTTAAAATAAACAGTATAATATAAATAAGGTCAATAAGTCTCAGGAATTAAAACAAGTGACAAGCGCAATTAAGATGGGAATCTGAATTGCTCTACCACCAGGCTAATCTCCTCTCACAAGCTATCCATCTACATTTCCTGTGCACTTAAAAGTGATTATTTTATTAACAGTCCCAGGCCCAATCCCTGCCACCTGTCAATGTCCGTTGTTTTTCCTTTCTTTAGAAAGTTACTATCAGCAAGAATATAATTGTAGTCATTTGAAATTTTACTTGAAAGAGTGTGTTACTTATCAGACATCTAGACATCAAGGTGAGGAGAGGCACTTCTTACCTAGGGATGGATTAAACTTACTTTGATGTGAATCTTGGGTCTATAGTGGGAACATTCTGTGGCCAGAAAAAACATATAACAGCAAATCATGGTGGCCAGGGACTTCATTTTCACACCTTAGGCTTTTAACCTGCAATAGCGAAGAAGCAGAACCAGCTGAAGTTGGTAACTTCACAAAACTGACCAGGTATATAGCAGCTCATCAGCCGCTCCACAATGAATCAAAGGGCGTTCAGTCTGTCTACACCTAAGCAACCTACCTAAGGGAAAGACACCAACTGTTTCCAACCCAGTTAAGATGTAAAAAAGAAAATCTCTCCACTGCTGAGCAGTCTAAGGTAGAAGAAGACAGGAATGGTGGGGATAACAAGAAAGTTATATGTTCATCAAAGCATCATTCCTTATCATCCAAATCTCAAGTTTCTTTAATAGCAACATCTATCAAATTTTTCTATTTGCCTATCACTATTCTAAGCATTCTTTTATTTGATCCTGTGAAGGGGGATGGTACTGCTATCTTCATTTCATCCTGAAGGAAACTAGGGCACGGAGTTGAGCAAGTATGTGTCCAATGCGTATTTACATCTGAGCTTGACCTGTATAATTACCAACTACTTGTTTGTCAAGAACTTGTAGCCAGCAGCAAAAGTTGAAGACAATGTGATGGTAGAAAAACTTAACAATGAGAGCAATGTATGCACTAACTAAATTTTCCTTAATCTGGAAACTCTGCCTGCTTTACTTAGAGTAGATAAACAACGTAGCTTTGGTTTCTACTATATGAGACCACAGCTTTGTGCCCTAACCTGGGGATCTGTGAAGCGCTGGCCCATGGAAGACAGAAGTATTTCATGACCAACCACCACCCCAGCATCCTCCTGCCCCAATAAACAGGTGCATGGAACCCCAAACTTCTGATCATTCCTGTCGTCAAGAGACAGTATCACTCAGGTTTTAGCTAAGTTACTCGATCATCAAAAATATTTTGGGGAATTTAAAGCTGCTGCTCCATAAAAATGGATTATTGTGGTGGGAAATGCTTCAGCCTACCCAGACTCAGACTATATGTGTCCTCACTGGTCACCTGCACCTCAGTGGTCCCTATGCAGGCGTCCACAGGGGCTCCTAAGTCACACCAATGCTTGGGGAGAACACAGGAGAAGAGGACAGATTCTGAAATGGAAAACAAATCAGAAGGGAAAACCAAATGCAGAAGATCTCTGCCTGGGGTCATCGGTGGCAAGGAGGTATACAGAGAGTTAGTTGCCATTTGTAAACAAACTCCTTCCGGTTTCCATGCCAGTGACCCACTTCAGCGACAGGAAGTAACTAAGCTAGCAGGATGGTAGCTTCTCAAGACCCATAAAGCAATCAAAACCTGTCCTTCTGCCTCCTTCCCTCTTCCACAGCCACTTCTCCCCGAACACCTTGCCCACCGCGGTTCACTTGTGCTTTTCATGTGACATAAACTGCAATTCCGGGCTGCTGAGGGAAGCCAGCCTCCCTCCTCTAAGGCGATGATTGCAAGAGTGAGAAGGTAACTGCGCTGGCTTCCAAAGCTTGAAGGAAAATGCAGCTACATATGATCAAGGAACCTGGGCACAGCCATCAGCCTCTCCCACCCCGTGCTTGGGCCCTAAGGACAAAGGGGCCACAGCACCAACGCCAGTGCTCTTAGCCCAGAGCCGCACCTAGGGGAGCAGACAAAACATTAGCTGCCTCAGCCAGGAAGAAAGCACCTCCTTCTTTCTCCTGCATGTGCCCCCAGAAACACTCATAGCGGAGCTCTGCGAACACTCATGGGATGTGAACATCAACAGGGGAAGAAAGTGGGTAATGCATGAAGACCCTTGCATGGTGTTTGCAATGTGTAAGGATTGATACACTGTGTCAACTTGAGGAGTCTAAAAGTAACTTAACTAAGTAACTCAGCAGTTCTGCATTGTAGTGTGTAAAGGATATGCCTTTCCTGCTCTAGGATGTTGTTCTTTTTTTATTATTTTTTTTTTAAAAAGAACAGTAGCAAAATACAAACAAAAAGCAAGAACATTAAAAATGATACTGGGTTTCAAGCCAAATGTTAGGAATTAACAGTGGTTGTTATATTACATATGTATACAGAAGGATAGCTGGGATAACCACACTGCTGATGTCTGGTGGTTTACTGAAAGGAACCATTAATGTTTCAATTTTTTTTATATTTTGACCAAATTTGCATGCTTATATCTGGTAATCTGAGCAACTGATATGGAGACAACAATATGCAATATAACAACCACTGGTGAATTCCTACCATCTTGTCTAGTGAAGCCCTGTATTGTCTCTAATGTTTTCTAAAATTATTATTTTTTTATTCTCTTTAATGGTTTGATCAATCTTCCATTCTTACATATGGTAATCTGAGCAACTTCGTTGAAGATAGGATGTTATTCTTTGTGTCAACTTGAGAAGTTTAGAAGTTAACTAAGTGACTCAACATGGGGCCGGGTCCTTACTTTGTAAACATCCTGAGCCTGTGCAAGAGGAGGGCATGGAGATGGTGTGACTGCTGCACCTGCCCAGGGACAGGGATGGCCTGCTTACAATATAAGGGAGGAAAAGAAGGTTGTTTCCCTTCTTTTGCTTTTGTTACTTTTGCTGTCTCCTGCAGCCTTGAAGTCTTGCCCCTCAGCCACGCCACCCTCCTTTGGAGTCAACTAATTAAGGACTGAAACTTTCACAAACAGTAAGCTAAATAAACTTTTCCTTCTTTAATTTTGGACATCAGATATTTTGTCTCAGCAACCAGAAGAAAGTAACTAAGACACAATGTTTGGCTCAAAATCATCTTTTAATAAAACCCTTTTCTGACTTTTTCTGCCAGGTGAGTATGCAGTTATCCCTTCGCATCCACGAAGTGATGGCTCCAAGATGCCCTGTAGACACTAAAATCTGCTCATGTTCAAGTCCCTTATATAAAACAGGCCTGGTGTTTGCGTATAATCCATGCACATCCTCCCCAGACTCTAAGCCACTCCTGGAATGCTTATAACAGCTAATCCAGGAAAATGCTTTGTAAATAGCTGTGCTCTATTGTTTAGCCAATGTTGGCAAAAGTCCTTGTGTTTAGTACAGACTATTTTTTTCCCTGAATGTTTCATAACATGGTTGATTGAATCTGTGGCTGGAGAACCTTGGTACAGAAGACCAAGAGATTAGCAATGCTAGATAAATTTTGGAATCTGGTGATTTAAACTGAAAAGCTCCCTAATACCCAGCCCACTGTGAAGCTCCTCCTTGTTGTACTATGTAGGCCTTGTATGAAAATAGAATGTGAGATCCCACCTAGGTTAAATGAGAAATAAAGCCATGCGAAAGGAAGGAAGGAATGAAGGAAGGAACAAATGAGTGAATGGATGGATGGAAGGAGGAATGGAAGAAAGGAAGGAAGGAAGGAAGGAAGGAAGGAAGGAAGGAAGGAAGGAAGAAGGAAGGAAGGAAGGAGAAATGAAGGGAAGGAAAGGGAAAGGGAAAGAAAAAGGGAGGGGAAGGGAAAGAAGGAAGGAAGGAAGGAAGGAAGGAAGGAAGGAAGGAAGGAAGGAAGGAAGGAAGGAGAAGGTAAAGGAAGAAGGAAAGGGAATGGAAGGGGAAAAAAGAATAAAGGGAAGGAGGGAGGGAAGGGAGGCTGCCATGTTGAGGGGCCATGTCTGCCGCAGGCATGGGCCAGCTGTGACTGTCGATGTCTCTCAAATCAGAAGTCACAAGACACCGTCCCTCCACACACCCTGCTGACCTGCCATTCCCAGACACCATCCACCCTTTGGCCTCCTCTGTCTTGTACCTACAGCTGCAATTCTGAGTGAGTTCGACCCAGAGCTCCAGTCATCCAGCAGGTGAGCCAGGTGGGGTTGTAGCAATGACTCAACAGATGGAGGAGCTCCAACTGGCCCCAGGCATGCTGGGGCTTCTATAGAAAATAGGTAAAGTTCAGTCAGCAGCCGGCTGCACACACTCGGATGAGAGTAGATGGGATGGTGTAACAAGAATGAGAGCTTCCACAGGTGACAGGGAGGCCATCTCACAGCTTGTCACCACCAGCCAGGCCACTTGCCTCGCTCCCCTCAGCCAATCCCATCATTGGATGGAAACAAGTCCAGGAAGGTGAGCCAGGAGCAAGGAGCTTGTGGGATGATAACATTTGTGTCTACACATGTTCCATCTCTCTCAACCTAATTTGGTAACCGAAGCCCTGGCTCTCCTGTATCCCTAGGCTGACAATGGGACATGGCTTGCATGGTTGCTGTCACGTCACTCACCTTCACCTATCTCCCTTTCCCTACACCCTATGAATGAGGACAAAGGGCCTCACTAACCCCCACTCGCACCCCGGCTGTGTAGCAGCCACTATCTACCACTCCTCTGCAATGTGGGTGCACCTCTCTGTCAGCGCCATGCCTCTGCCCTGCTCTGCCACTAACAGGCTGCTGCTGCCTCTTTAAAGAGGAGTTGGGGAGCCTGGGATGGCTAAGAACTGGGAGGAAGGGATCTGGGCCCACGGGAGGTTGACATCCCCAAACTCCCTCAACCCCAGTTAGTCCTGATGAACACAGAAAGACTTCCAAAAGAGTCCCTGGTTTCAGCCCTGCTATTTTTCCCAGCGAGGGGACAGCTGTCAGTCAAACAGCTCAAGTCACCCTGTGCCCTCAGTCAATCTGTGCCATGACAGCTCCATTTATCCCTGATCTTCCCAACCCTTGCTTGGACCAATCACAGGACTTCACTTGGACCAATCAGCAGGCCTAAATTTCAACCAATCACAGGCCTGCAGCTGCTATATTAGCAGCACTCCCCTCACATTTCTTGTGTTAGTCTAAGAAAGTTCCATCCAATATGCCAACCACCTATGCAGGCCCTGTTAAAATAAAGACTTGTTTAGTGGTCCTGTAAATCTGCTCATGATTTATTTCTCATATAGCGTGGGCCTTGAGGGTTGTAGAAATCTACTCAGGACATAGAAGATCCTGTAATCTTTGATCCTGAGTAGTATGGCCAAGTGGCCTTCTCAAAAGAAAGAGCAATAAACACTAGGGGCTGTTAGCTCTGAAGAGCTCCAGAGATCAGAAACCTATGAAGATCAGCAGCAGACATCAGCCCCCAAAAGCATCAACCTACAAAGTCTGGCATGAGCTGGCATCAGATGGCAGTGGGCAGCAGTGCAATGACCAGCAGCTGGCTGTGGCAAACATTGATATCCAACGTTATATGGCATTGTCTGGTACTATGAGGGCCACAAGCAGAGCTCTGTTTGCCAAATCGTGATTTCCGTCTGAGTGGAGCAAAAGAACCCTCAACTGATTGGCAACACGTCTACTTTGGGACTGTAACCAGAACTCTGGTCACAGCACCAGGTGGCAAAGGGAGCTGTGGATTTCCTTAAGCCTCAGCATCCCTCAGCCTCCACAATAGTCTCTGTAGGCACTCTGTGTGGATAATGTACACCACACAGAGCCTTGGGGAAAGGAGATGTAAGATGCACTGGAATCACAAACAACTACCTTGGCTATTTTTTCTGACTTCTACCCAATAATTTGGTAACTCAATGTCTCTTCTGAATTTGAGTCAGAAATCAAATTTTGATAGAATGACAAAAGTTCAGATTTGGAAGACATCCAGACATCTCAAGAATTGCCTGAACACTTAAATAGAACTCAACACAGTGGTAGACGTGGCAATCACTCTGATCCATGAGGAAATTGCTGAGCCCTGACACTGGAGAAAACAGCTATGATGGAACATATTGTGGTCTAAAAATCACCCTCAGAGTCTGAGGTGCCCAGGCCTTTGCATAGCATTCTGTCAGCCACTCCAAAGCAGGGAGATGTCTTTGCAAAATGTTTTGATAGTACCAGGATTAATTTTTTCAAGTGCTATAATGATAGTTTCTCAGCCTCACTAAAAGAAGAAACTACTAAAGAATATTTTGGAAAAGCATCCAATATTACATTCAGATTGAAAGAAAGGCATTGGAATTTGTCAGGAAGGGACAATAAGGGACAGTGAATCTCCCCGCCTGACCAGGCATTTTCATTTCACTCCTAGCATCCAGCAATTACAACCTGACAGATGAAACTCTCCCACTTTGAACTGCTGATTTCCAAATAGCATTAGGGTCAGATCCTGCAGAATCAACCTTTCCAGAACATTCCACTTTAAGCCACATATGTTCCCCACCCTAGAAGAGAGTAGAAGCAACCTGTCTTCAGCAGGAAAGAGTGCTGATGAGGCATGTACTTACGGCGTCGGGAAGCAGGTCCAGCAGCCCAGAGGTGGAGAATCACCCTATGTGAAGGTGGGTATTGAGACCCCCACATCCTGACCCACCATCACGTGTGTTCACGTTGATGCCCCTCAGTTGCCCCAAGGGTGGGACCCCACTTCTCCATCCTCAGAAGGCACACGTAAACCAGCCGGTTGCCGTGAGTAGCCTGTCTGAAGCCGCCCCAGTGTGGAGACTGTGGGAGGTGTGATTCACCACTATGCCTCTGTCAAGCTTGCCCAGGAGAAATTACAGGTTTCTCCTGTCTGGAGCAAACCCATCACTGTGAGTCACTTGTTTGTCCTTCAAGTCTCAGCAGATCACCTGAGGCTGTTGCATCCAAGGTTGGTGCAATTTCAGCAAGGGTGACGGGATGCAAGGCTGCACGACTCCATCAGCATCGAAGTGAAAGGCTGACCTGCATGTCAGTCACCTGTCCCCGAGTTGAACTCAGAGAAAACTGCCTGGGAATCTGAGCAGGAAACTGTGATGTAATCACTACCTGGGCTCCGGAGGGATTTCTGTTTCACTTTTTTAATGACTAGGCAGGGCCTTCTCCCTGAACCTCTGCATGGCTACAGGGGCTCAGACCCAGGAAAGAAGTCATGTCACAGGAAATGACATCGGATGGGGCAGCAGTTTGGAGTGTCCTGCTCTCCCCCAAATACCCTGCACATCCTAGTTCTGGTGTCTCCTGCTTGCAGGTCTCATTCCCGAAGATCTGCATACCCCACGAGGATGCTACAAGGGAAATGTTGACAACCAGGAGAAAGAGGAAGAGATGGGTGTTGCATAACCTCCAGCGATGAAGGTCACGGAGGCAATGCCTGAGGAAAGGGCTCGGTTCCATTTAGGTCACTCATAGAATAAGACTCAGTCACTGGGATCTGAAAAGCCAGACCAAGTGGTTCTGCAACTGAAGGACTTTATTGAACACATTCAGTGAACGCATTCTGCATACAAGGCGCCTTAAAGTATAAACACACAAAGAAATACAAGGAACACAGCAAAGAAGAGAAGGCACAGCCTTGGTGCTCAAGATTTACTGTCTTATCCAAGAGAGAAAATACAGGCACACAAAAAGACCAAAGGAAACAGTAACACAACAAATAAATATTAACATACTATGAGGGGCACAGATTATAAATAATAAGACAACTGAGTGGGGAGAATGGGCGTTTCTGGCTGCAGCAACCAGAGAAGGCTTCTCAGAGAATGCAGGAGGTGCAGGCAGGCTGGACAGTACAATGAGCAGCACCTTGGGTGTTCACCTTGCCTTCCTGGGAAGGGAGCCTTGTGCAACCAAGGTGTCTTGGATGAAATGCTCGTTCAGTGGGACACTGCAGATTCACTGGCTGGTAACTCTAACGTTGAACACACCAAATCAAATGTCTAATTATTTTATTTAGAAGTCAGCTAACTCATTCTTGTGAGGGTATCTATGTCCAAATCTATGCAAAAGGCCATGAGTGTGTTTGCATGTGTCTGTGTTGGAGGGGGATGTTACAGGTACACTAATTTTTTTTTAAAAAAACTAAATTTTAATGAGCAATTATTACTGGCCAAGTACTGTTCTAAACACTTTACCCACATTCATTCATTTAATGTTTACCGTCATTCTATGAGGTAGGCTCTGTTATGCTCAAAGAAAGTCACATTTGAATGACTCTCCCAAGGACAGCCAGATAGCCAGGAGCCTCGCTAAGGTGTCCCCCATCCTACTTGAGGGAGTGGGTAGACCAAAGCTTAGGGCTTTCCAGATAAGTCCTCCATCTCCTCAATGCTCATCCTACACTGGGATAAGTGGACGCCTTTCTAAGACTTATCCACATGCAGGGCCCCCTTGTTTCCTGAGACCCCACACTCACTGCAGAGTGCTGGCTTTGCATGTGTGCCCTTTCTCTGTGCAGAAATAAGTTCCCTGGGAACTGCCAGGGCTGCGCTCACAAGGGAGACCCTGTGGATGCACTGATGAATGGTACAGTGAGCCAACTCTTGGGCTCTGTCTAGAGACAACATTGTTGTTGTCCCAATATGGGTGACCACTGCAACAAAAACTCTGTCCAGGGCAGGGTATCTCCCTACCTTCTGATTGCCATTTTTTTTGTACCATTGTCTTTTCAAACTTGCCTACTTACAAAAAGATTCTGTGTAGAAAAAAATCACAAAGAGAGGCAGAGAGACCCTGCCCACGCACAGAAGGACCTCAGTTTCCCCTAGCGGGTATGGCCTCTCAGTAGGACCAGTAGGGTTCACCCCTACTCCGTGAATTTATCTCCCAGCTTCCTGCAGTGGCAGCCACCCGTGTATGGCTCTGTACGTGGCTTCAGACCACGGCATGGTTCTCTATCAGATGAGACCTGCTTTGAATGCCAGACTGTTCCTATGCACAGCTAGGAAAATGAGCAGCTTTGTACCTGAAACACAATATTTCCCCTTCCCCATCCTAGGCATCAAGCACACATATTGTTGGTTTCAGGAAGTGTGGGTAAAATACTTCCTAAGGCCATATGGTCTGACAGTGTCAGGATCTGGGGGAGCAGAAGCTGTTTTCTCCTCCCCTCAGCCACCGATTGTCTGTGAATCACATCTTGGGGTTTTCCTCTCCTTAAACTAGGCAACTTTTCAGATTCTAAGCCTCTATGGTTTGCATACGGCTCATGGCTAAGACCTTGGCATCTGAGCCCAAGCCAGGATGACCATCAGCTTAACTTTCACAGAGTGGAAGATGCTGGCAGTTGGCTTCTGTCATAAGCAGAGGCAGCGGTGACCTACTTAGTCCCCTCCCCCACCGACTCTTGACTTTTGGTGCCTGTTTATGAGCCTCTCCCGCCACAGCCCGGGAATTCTGCCAGGTGATATTCCAGGCCACCTTGGCCAAAGATAAGCCCCAGCTTCTTCCTCAGGATGAATGAGACCCGCAGCATGGAGGCGGAGGCGCTGAGGAGACTGTGGTCCTGCTCTTGGGGAAGGCCCACTCTGTCTCTGCGGGACACCCAGAGTGATAAAGGTTTTTACAGGTGATGCGCAGGTTCAGTGGGCTCCATCCCCCCGTGCTTCTTCCCCTCCACCACTCCACAGCGGGGCAGAAGGCAGGAGTCACTGTGCTTCTCCCGCAGGCACTGCCGTTTCTCGATGACTGACCTTGTCGGGAAAAGGAAAGTACATCAGTGCGCAGTGGCTGCATCTGGTGGTTAGGAGCATGAGACGGTCTGTGTCAAGCAGTGTGGCCACCTCCTCCCTCGGAGCCAGGGAACAGGCGTGTTTTGTTGCCTACACATGCTGAGCTGCAGCCCTGTCTTTCTGTAGGGTGGGCCCCTTGCTGTTTAGTGCAGCTCCTCTTGAGAAAGGTCCCGATCTCTGCATGAGGCCCTGGGATGCTGCAGATGGACTCACAGGCTGCAGAGCCTGACTATGGGGTGAGCAGCAGGCTCTCTGCAACACCGAGCACCTGTCTCTGCAGCTCTGTGTATATCCAGGCCTGTCTGCTCTTCATCCCCTCTGCCCAGTTCTTTGAGGTCCCTATGCGCTCTCAGCCTCCCCACACCTCCTTGTCCCTGTGAATCTTCTGGGGAGTTCAGTGTCCCTGTGTGTGCCTCTGTGTCCCACTCTGGTCTTCTCTTTCCAGATCTAGCAGACACGGAGGCACAGGATTGGAGGAAGTATGCAGCACAGACCCAAGGACCAGGGTGGCTCTCTTCCAACCCATGTCCCCAAGCCCCTTAGGCTGTATTTACTCTTTGTTCCCCAAGCTCCTCTCTCTAACTCAGTTTCTCTGTGTGCCTCTGTCCTGAAGACATGACCTCCAGTGTCTCAGAAACATAGTTTGCCTCTTCTTGATCCTCTAAGGCCAGGGGAAAGACCTGGGCTGCAATGGGACCCCAGGGGACATCGCAGGTTTGAGGTGAGATGCTTGGGAGTGAAGCTGGCGAAGAGACCGAAGGGGAGATCTGGGAAGAGCAGGTGCTCAGCTCGGCCTCTTATGCCCAGGCTCAGCCAGGCACCTACTCAGACTCGCTGGCTTCTTCTGCAAGTTCGTGGCAAGAGCACTGTAGCCCAGGAGTTAGAAACAGGCTTGCATTTCTGACCATAGCCAGGAAAGAAAAGATGGATTGGAAAAGCCCTTCCAACAGAAAAACATACTTTCTTTTTTGCAGAACTACAGGTGGAGCCCAGACACTTCTGAACTCCCCAGAAGATTCACAGGGACAGGGAGGTGTGGGGAGGCTGAGAGTGCATAGGGACCCACACACTAAGCAAGAGCTCAGTTACAGCTATACTTCCAGCCCCCAGCAAAAAATCAGTTCTGACATAGTGACTCAGGTAATGATTTTCAGAAGAAGTGGCATCCATGTCGCACACCCATGAGGACTTCCACTCATCATGCACTCACCTCTGAGTGTGGCTGCAAGCTGGGCTCTTTGCTTGGCCTTCTGGCAGGGTGGAGGGAGAACTCCAAAGGCAGGCTCTGTAGGGACCAAGGGAGTCTTCGTTATCATGGTAGGTCTGCTGCCAGAGATCACAAGAACTCCAAGGTCCACAGAGAACTGGCATCCACAGAGATTGACTTTACCTTTCACCATCATCGCTGCTTTAAAAGCATTGAGAACAATGAGGAGAGGCTGGGGGAGACATCCTTCCCCTGGGAGCCCTGATCAGATGGGGAGAGGGCAACAGAGGAGGCAGCTGGAGGCAGGAGACAGGAGGCCCACAAAATCCACATCAAGTGAAAGCCATGTGAGCATGGCCGCCCATCAGAGCAGGTTCCAGATGACCCTCAACAGAGCTCTCTGTCCTGGGGTGGACCTGGACTGAACCTACTGGGCTGGTATTGCAAGGGAAAAGTAAGTTTGGACCAAGGAAGGTTGTTACCAGGGATCAAAGGGGACACACTAGTCCTGTGCTCCATGGGAGGTGACAAAGCCAGTGATAGGCTGAGGACAGGCTGAATGGGAGGAGATGGCAGGAAGAAACAATGTGCACAGCCCACATCAGAATCATCATGGAGCTGGTTCTGATAAATGCTCAGCCTCTATCCTGGGGGCTTTGATTACATCTTTCTCAAGGGGGTTGGTCTGGCTGTAGAGTTTTTAGGGTGCAGCCAGCATTGTAAACCACTGGTCCCAGCAACGGACAACTGATAATATAGCGCTGAGTGTCGTTCTGAGCTACTCGTGTACACACACCAAGACGAGCCAGCAAATGACTTCTTTGCACTGAGAGGAAGAATTTCCCCATGCTGGAGAGGGTGAACCAACACTGAGGACTCAAAAGGGAAGGAGCCTTGGCACTGAGGGGTGCGAGGCTCAGGCACACGTCAGGCCCCGTGCACAACCGAGGACACCACAAACCACCAGGTGATGGCTTTGCATGGCTGCTACCTTGTCAGACTTTCAAGAGCAAAATAAAAATGACAGCTTTACCTCTGATATCCTAGAGATCCAATTCGCAGAGTTTGCTCGACCCTTTAAGGCTTCTCGGATCTGGATGTTTAACACAAAGGGTTAAGAATTAAAAGATGATAAGAAGTCATCACCAGTGTCCAGACCTGGCAAACAGGGTGGCAAGGCCGTGTCCTGCTGATGGGAGATGGGTTCAGCAGCCTGGTGGTTGAGGAAGATTGGGGAGACCAGGAAAGACAAGAGAGGGGAGCTGGCAGTGGAGTGTCCAGGGCTTAGACCGGGCCCAATCACTATGAAAAGTCTAGTTTGCCACAGGCTAAGCATTCAAAACATAGGTTTGGCGTTTTTAAATTTTATATAAATAGTTTATCACTTCTCACAAATTTTTAATTTTTCAAACATTCTCTAGATGGGAAAAAAAGTGTAACACAATGTGGAACTAAGGAAATAAGAAGAATAAATAGCTATGGTATTTAATTTCATAACTTTTGTGTTATAACTTTGAAGGCCCCAGCTGAGGGTGAGGGTCTTTGTGCTCACTGTTTTAATACCATGTTTCCTACTGTGCATAATATACACTTCATACTTTAATAATAAGCACATGTGGGATACACGCTCAGTGTTTTTGATCTTAAAAATTTGAAGACTATTCATGAACAATTTCTTGTCAGTGAATCATGTATGACCTGGGACAATTTGGAGCATTCACCTTTCAAGTTTTAATTTTAAGTGTAAGAGGGTTTGGCCTTGCAGGAGGCTTCATAACTGTGAGGTCTTCATATATCACAAAACCTAGGAGCAGCTAAGGAATAGGCTGCTGCTCCTGCTGCTGTTGTGGCAGCAGCTGCTGCTGTTGTTGATGCTAATGCTCATGCTCTTGCTGCTGCTACTCTTGCTCAGAAACTAGCTATGGTGTGACGTTTAACACACACACACTGTGCCTATGACTGTGTGATGCCTTACATGTGTTCTGTGTCCACCTATAAATGTGAGCTTGTGCTTTTCTATAATCTAGTGGAAAAAGCAGTGAGAGGAACCTTATCCCTGTATTCCATGGGAGGAATCTGGAATTTACAATCGTCAAAGCGCTCCCAAGGACCACACAGCTGGTACAGGTGCTCCTTGACTTATGGTGGCGCTGTGTCCCAACAAACCCATCGCAGGTTGAAAATATCATAAGTCAAGAGTGCATCTGATACACCCATGCTGCTGAATTGCACACCATAGTGGAGAATCCTAATCACACCTCTGATGGGATGCTGTGGTTTGCTGTTACCAGAGAGTATCACACTGCATGTTGTTGGCCCAGGAAAAGATCAAAATTCAGAATCTGAAATCAAGTTTCCACTGAATATGTATCAGCTCTGTGTCATCATAAGGTCAAAATTCATAAGTCAAACCTTTGTGAGTTTGGAAATATCACATGGAAATATCAAGACCAGTAATCTTTCACATCTGAACGATTTTTACTAGCTGTAATGGCATCCTTGGTAGATAATGCAAGAATGACTTTGAAATTGTTTTTTCACAAGCCCTTGATACTGACTTAATAACATAATAGCTTTGATGTAAATGCTTAACAAAGCATACAGTTCTGCAGTGAGGATGCGTTTTTGTTTTGTTGTGGTCTGCATATCCAGCCTGGTTAATATAGACTTGCTCTAGCTGAATGGTTGTTGGCACTAACATCTGAGAGAGATGTCTGTTTTGCTGACTCCAGGATGGTGCACAAGTGGAAGGGGTGGTCTCTGAAGCCTCAGTGAATGTGTGCTGTGTGTTCCTCTGTCAGTGTGTGTCTTCTCCACTTGCAACTTGTCCACGCTCACTGTGTCAGGATAACCCCAACCTGGGTGTCCTGACCTGCAAGGCAGAACTCACCCCTCTACCCCAGTGCCACTCAGGTGCAGCCTTGTGGCCTAGCTCAGCCGATTGGACCCCACAGTGCAGGAGAGCAAGTGTCTCCAAAGGCCAGGCTGTGAGTGACACCAGGCAGCAGCAGGGATGGCAGTGGTATCCCTCATGGCAGATCTATGTCGTCCACTGGAAACCATTCCTGGAGTGCAGCCTGTACCCCAAAGAGAGCTCCTCCCAAAGCTGGTATTGTGGGATGCAATAAACCTGCTTTCTGCCTCAATGAATCCGAATGTTTTCTAACAGGGATCTTGTGTGAGCTACTTAATCAGTCACAGCATCTCAGTTTCCTCATCTGTACAATGGAAACTAGCAATGCCCCAGATTGCTTAGAGGATCAGAGCTAATCCATGTGGACACTTAACCCCCAAGTGCTTGAAGGATGGCAGGTGCTACCCACACCGTGAAGAGCAGTGAAGTTCTATACATGTGTCTGCACAAATGATCCCGGTAACAGACCCTCCATAAGTGATCATCATAGTTGACCATGTCAAGGCCAAGCCCTAGTAATGCAGGAAAAGGAGAAGACTCTACATACAGTACCTTCGGATCCAGGATTGTCACAAACACCAGGATGAAGAAGCCCTGTAAAGATGGAGAAGGGAAGAAGAACTATTTAAAAGAAAAATGAGGACAACAAATGCCAGTACTCACCACAAGGTTGCTGTTTCATTCACAAGAAAATAACTTAATCTAATCTTTTAATTTCCTAATTTAAGGTTAGAAGAGCTGAATTCACTCATTCAACCAACATTGTGGTCCCTGGGCAATCTGCTCCAGGTACAGAGAAAGCCTCCATCAACCAACAGAGCAATGGGCCTGCTTCATACATACAGGAGCACTTTAGACACTTCTTCCAAAGTGAGCAAATACAGGTGTTTTACCCTTAGTAGGAGTTGTTCCTCTCATTAGACAATAACGATCTGAATCAGGTGCACACTTGTAATTCACACTATGCAGGAAGCTGAGGCAGGAGTATCAAAAGTTTGAGGCCAGTCTGACAAAGTCAGTGACTCAAAATTAAATTAAATCAAATTAAATTACAAAAAAGCCCTCAGGGAATTGTTCAGTAGGAGTGCCCTTGCCCTCGGTTCAGTTCCCTATACAAAAGGAAAGGAAAGGAAACGAAGGAAAGGAAAGGAAAGGAAAGGAAAGGAAAGGAAAGGAAAGGAAAGGAAAGGAAAGG